CTGTATGTACAGTGGTTCACTTTCGCTTTCATGATGCATTCCCACCCTGAGAAACTGTTCCGTTTTAGCTAGAAATCTCAAGTTTTTTATTCAATACTCCTTCTTAAACAGGTTTCCAAATAGAAGTGAATTATCTAAAGTATCAACATTTTCTAAAAGTACGTCCTTATTCAAAAGCATGTTAAAGGCACATGAGGAGGCTAATAAATAAACACATAACGTAGGAAGTAATTCAAGAACATATTTTTCACTAATTGTCATGATTTGATCTGGTTGATGGTTTTGGAGACCGTCAACAAGTCGTTTCGCGGATGAATATTAGACAAACATTCGCTTTGGTATCGAATTGATGTAATAATGTGCGCTGTAACCTGAAAGCCATGCAGATTGTTAGCGAAATTTAGTCATCGTCTTAATGGTCTTCCGAGGTATCCCTGTGCGTCTTGCGTGACCAGACTTAGTTCGGCGGTTTCACTCGAGACCATGTTGCTTGCATCGGTAGTCAAACTGTATAGACCATTGGTCTGGCGGCAAATTCTTTCCAGATGTGCTCTAAAATGGTGGAAATGGAAACTGGCCTATTTATTTAGGTTCATTCCTTAAAGTTATCTCTTAACCCATACTCCATGCATCACGTGTTGAAACCCGAACCTTCCGAACAATATCTTTTTCTTTAGAATTGTGACTTTACAATTTAAATACGGTACATACAGTATACTAGAAACTTCATAAAGGAAAATCCTGGATGAGCAACCTGTTGATAAATCACCGATTGGTTTATGCTGTAAATGACGCTACCGGCTCACAATCTGACTAGTTTTTTCTCTCAACAATCTCATTTTGGTTTGTTCGTTTCAGACAGAACAGTTTAACCCAACCAATTGAACGAATAAATCCCCTATCTGTCCTTTGGCAACTCGAACACAAGGGTTTGACTGACCACGAGAGCATTATCGTTGCAGACGGTGGAGATTTCGTGGGGTCCGCTGCCTACATTCTTCGTCCACGCGGTCCTCTGTCATGGTTAGATCCGGGACCGTTCGGTACTTTGGGAGTCGGTGGAGGGTTTGCTTTAGGAGCGAAGCTCTGTCGTCCTGAGGTCAGTTTGTTTTTGATGATCAGAGACATAACTTTTTCCTATCTAACAGGTACTAGGTCTTAAGACGGTTCCATCACTCCGTTCATTTTGTTGGAGTTTACGTGCCCAAATGGAAATTATGACTACAACCAAACATGTCAGCAAAGCTACAATCCTTCTCCTTCAGAGTAGACATCCATTTATTCCTCTTTCGTGTGTACTTCAAAGTGCTGCGTAATATCTATCAGGGTGAAATATCACTTAAAAGGTTGCGAACAGAATGAAGAAAATTCAACTGTTGTTCCTGAATGTGTCACTGAATTGAGTCTGCAATGAAAAAGCTCTTGACGATATGCAAACAAACTGTGTTCAGTAGTACTAAAAAAATTGTACGAACTACAAAGTACAGAATTATCAAATGTCTTTGAAAAAATAGGTAACAAGCCGAAAAATTCATTCGTATTTTTCATCTTTTGACACCGGCGTTATTTAGCTAGGTTAATGCTCAACAAACGTTTTAGTTTCTCTGCCTTCTCTCCGGGGAATCCTAAAGAAGCCTGAATGCGTATCCTTTCAACAATCGTCTGTTCAACCAAGATTCGTCTGATCGCAGCAGTTTAGCGTATACCGGTACAAAATGATCGTCTGAAAACTTTCAGATATACAGGACGAATGGCATGGATGTTTTTCGCCATCCGAGCACATCAAGTAGACTATTACGTAAGAGCTGGCAATGAAACATCTTTTTTCGTAAACACTAGCTGTCAACAAATTAAGCGATGGGTCAGGCACGTTGACCGTAAGTACTACTCGATGAGGCTTGCCAGGTTACTTCCCATGAATGTAGTGAAGATGTGCCATTTCTGCTTGGATAGATGTGATGCGGAATTCCCTCAGCAATTCCAAGCACCATGACCGGCCAGATACAAAGCGTTTACAAATCCCCATTACGTTTGGATAAACGTTGTGCAATGTGGTGTTTGTTTAACAACTTAAAATGCAGTCCCCTATTTCGCTTGGGTATTTTGCTAAACTTTCTATTTTTGACTTAGGCAAACGTTTGGGTCGTCTATGGAGACGGGTCATCCGCCTACAGTTTGGCTGAATGGGACACTATGGCTCGACACAGAGCACCTGCGATTGGCGTCATTGGCAACGATGCATGCTGGTCCCAGATCGCGCGAGATCAGATGGGTTTGTTTGGTTCCAACGTAGCATGTGGCTTGCAGAGCACGCGTTATGACTTAGTGGGGGCGGCATACGCCGGTGCAGATATCCATGACGCGTTACTCAAGTCGGGCGGCGATTGTGGTGGCTTCACAGTGACGGAGAAGAACCTCGACAAACTTCCAGAATTAATGGCCCAAGCTCGTGAACTGTCCTGCCGAGGAACTCCATCAATCATTAACTGTCACATAGCCGCGAGCGGATTTCGTGAGGGTAGCATTTCCCTATGAATTCAACTTCATTTCATTTGTTCACACGCCTTTCCACCACTCCGCTTTCCCTAATCTTTTTCGGCA